GGCCAGGCTGGCAACACGGCCATACGCAGGGACAGCTCTCTTGCTAGTGTAATGGCTATTGACATGCACACATATAAACTCCCTAACATACAGTAAGATTAGATTAAACACTAGGGTTTTTTTCCTAATGGTTAAAACAAACCAGGAAACCATGCTACCTTGGGAAAGGTTATGGCTAAAATGTATGCAGAGTGTGGATCACAGTGTGTGCAAGGCCAGTGGCCCCGATCAGGGACGTGCTTGGAGTGTGTTTCCTTTCACAGGAACAAGGGCACTGGGGAAGAGAAGAGTAGCAGGCACCCAGGTCTCATCCTGACCTGAAGCTGTGTCTTGGCTGCCTCAGGCACCAGGACACGGCTCCAGAATCCTGCTGTCCACATGCAGCCTTAATTGTCATGAACTGTATTTTACCAACCAAGTCACACCAATATTTAACTAGCCTGTTAGGATGGTGTGAGTCTGAATCCCTCAGTAAGATGCTCATGTGCAAAACAAGTAGAAAATTAGCACTGATGTAATTAACCATATATGGCTCAGCCTGGCAAAACCATTAGCCAAACTGTTTAAAACATAAAACCCATAGAAAGGAGCAGTATGTTTTGTGCTCCTTCAGGAGCTGTGGAGTGAAAACCTGTGGCTAGGTTTGGCATGTTATAACCCATCCAGGAGCACGAACTGCTTCTGACTGCAGACTCGGTTCTCATGGGTACTGAGATTCAGAAGCCAGTGAGATGTCAAAGACCTCAGATCTTACTGTACTCAAGATCTATCTGCGCCCTTACGCACATAAATTGACTTTAAAAAAAAAACCCAAACCAAACAACTGATTGAAGTTTGAATCAGTACAAATCCCAAGCTGTTTTAGACCATACACACACAAGAATGGAACGTATAATCACCACGTCCATGCTTTCTCCTTAACTTTACTGAGGGCTGGGCTTGAGCTATTTTGAAAGAAGTGACTGCATGTATCTCCTTCTTCAAGCATTAAGCATTCCTGGCAGCAATAATTGCCTTGTAACTAACTTCTCATTAACACCCTTTTAGACCTGTATAACTGTGCTGACTTTATGTTGCTCCTGGTCCAAGAACAGGATTATCATCTCAGCACCAAAACCTCCTCTTAATTAAACTGTTACAGATTTAAAAAAAAAAAAAAATCCACTGAGATAAATGGAATGACTGGATTTACAGCAGCATAACTGAGATCAGAGTTTGCCCTATTGTTTCCTATCAAATCCATAATTTAGCATGATAATGCACAGTGGTCTATACAAAACTTCTTTTAGCTGGGAAGACCAGCTTGTTTACCCACCAGTAGTATGTCATGGTGACAGATAACTATTTTAATGAATTTAATACTCTTATCTGAATCCCTTATCCAGGAAAGAAAAATACATTTGCAAATAAGAATACGGCACCTGCTTTAGACTGAATAAAAGCATTAATGTGAAGAACAAGAAACCAAATATCTAACCTTGAGTGATGCTGAGCAGCTGCGACTTCCATGAACTTTGTAGGAGTTGCAAGAACTCAAGATATCTGTGGATGATATTTTAAGATACAATGCAAGGTCTTTTTCTACTGTTTTCTTTCAGTTTGTCATTTATGCAAAGGAAGACACGAGATAAAAACCTAAAGAAATTACCATGTGGAATCCAGATGCCTGAACATAACTATACAAAGCAGAACTTGCAATGGCAATGCATGTAGAAGCTTGATCAAAGAGAGATCATTAATCATGTACATACAGGTTGGATGAGGGGAAAAGGCCTGAGGAAAAAGTGCATGAAAAATCTCCATCACACAAGTACTTACACTATTGCTTCATAGCTTTTTATGTCTTTAAATCCAAGCGAAAAAGGACATTATCTAAGGTGGTCTAGGGAATATAGCAAGGATATACAAGGAGAGATGGAGGAAAGGGTAAATGAGGTTTTATAGCATTCCAGATTCCGCTTACAAGTGATGGAATGGCCGTTAAGACCGCGAGAATGATTTCTTGCATGGAAGAAAGCAGGAACTCAAGAAAAGAAAGCAAGATAAGTATGTATGTTTTAGCAGAATTCTTATTAGTTACTAAATTATTATTGGCTGGATACCAAACACTCCACACAGTGATAAACAACTGTTCATTTTATTTCACTAAACAAAAAGCCCATTGAAAGATTTCTACTATTACCGCATTCACTGGAACTCACTTGAAAAATACAGTTTTGGACATACATCAAATACAACTTGCAGCTGAATAACTGTAGTGGTCTAAGTTACTTTTCAAACATGTCAAGAAAATGTTCTGTTCTCCAGGCAAGAGGAGAACAACAGAGCAAAGCAGCACACTAACTATAGGTATCAGACATTCCCTGAGGCTCAGAAATACCCTCTCTTTTTAACTGCTGAGATTTCAGCAACTGGTCTTGCTTTCAGGAGAGGTGGAGGGCTGGCTTCACATACACACACACGCCCCATCTTTGGTGGCAAGCCAGCAAAAACAGTAGGAATTCCCATATCCTGTCTTGCCACCAAAATAGGTACATTTTTAACAGCTGTGTCAGCACAACAATACGTAAGGCCACACAATAAACTGGAAAAATTAACTGATCTTGGTTAAAAAAAATGTGTAACTAAAAATGGTACTGCTTTTAATCCAAGCCTTGATTTGATCCCCAGTGCAGTTACAAACAGCTGTGGCAGCACAACTGTGGGGCCATCAGTGGTGGTGGTGGCAGGGAAGATGAAATCCTTAAGATCTGCAGCCAGGAACAGGCTATGCAGAACAGTGTATCAGGCTGTATGTAACTGTCACAGTGACACATCACACTTCCTTCAGAGGTAAGGCTAATTATGAAATCCTTCTCTCTAGTGTTTGCCCTGGCTGCTGCAGTTTGTCACCTCCAATGTTATGAATATATAATAGTTTTAGAAGCTGCATCCTAAACTGGATCATAGAAATCATCTGGGTTAAGGAAAAAGAAATACCAAAACAGGTTTGATTTCTAATTTTTCTCTGTTGCATTAGCTCAGCTGTAGAAATCATGAATTACAGGACTAGTGACTGGCCATTGTCAAGCCCCTAAAACAGTTCTTGCATCAAAAAACACATAAAAGATCCTGCACATTCGAGTCAAAATTAAAATCCTCTGAAAAAGCAACCCTAAGGTACTTCTGACTGGACAGCCCAAAATTTGGACTCCTCCTTCAGAAATAAAATATCCATGTCCCACTTGAAAATATGGATCCAAATTTGGTGAGCAATGGTTCTCTGAAACATTCTGCGTTTCAGGTTTTGTGCTCCCCACACCTTTCATTTTAACGTATTTACATCCCCTATGTGTCTTTAAAACACTACCAAATGCAACTCCTCTTCTGCTGTTATAAATGGCTACCCAAAACCTAAGGTAGTGGAGAAGCATTCCCTCCAGGTTAGGTTCTGTGTTTGGGCTAATTGCTTTAGGCTCTGTCAAAACATCACCTTTAATCAGAGCTGTTGATTTCCAGCCTCTCTGAAAGACAACTCTTAGTTTCTGAAGCTGGGTTCTCAGACACAGCAGCATCTAAACACTGTGAGCAGTTCTGGAAAGAAAAAAAAAAAAGAAGTCTTAAGTCTTTCCACTATTCATAGCCTCCACTCATTGGTGCAAAGCCCTTTAACAGAATTGTTTAGACCACGTAACACCCACAAGTCGCAATTTATTAAAGTTTAGCAGTCTAATCACTGCAGACTTTTTCAGAGTTGATCCCCACAGTAACAATTATTTTCTGCTTTACTGACTCAGGGAAATTCATTCTACTTTTTCTCCCCTTACCTCCCATCCACTCTTTTATTTCTATGCCATGTTTCTTCCTTCTCCCTTGCGCCTATTGTGCCTTTTGTGGTCAAAAAAACCTACAGCTACTATTCCCCCCATGTTGCTAGTGGAGACTGGAATGGCCTGCATAATTTGTCCCCTTACATGCAGATCTGCCTTAAACTTTCAAGTTTATTTGTTTCGCCACACTGTTGAGGTTTGGTCAGTTCAGTAAAACTAATTTGAAGTTGTGAGTCATTATCAGGAGCTTCTGGGTTGTCAGTGTGTCCCTATGAAATGGAGAATAAAGGACCACAATTCTTACGTGTTTATTGTAATTGCAGCAGTTACACAAGCTGTGTAACACAGTCAGGGCTTAACACCGTGGCTGACTATAATCTTTGTGCAATTATGGAACAAGAATCACAAGTCACTTCAGGAAATGGGATTTGAAAATGTAAAAGCAGAAATTGTGCATTTTTTTTCCCTCCCTCATCTCTTTTTAAAGGAGTTTTAGTCAGCTTTATGTAAATGCTTTACACACACACACACGTATTTGAAAAGGACAGTTCCCCACAATCTTTATATAACTTTCAGTCTGACACCAGTGCCAAGCCCTGACTCAACACCCCTCTGAAATGACCACGGCGGCCCAGAGAAGCCAGCTGAGCTGCTCCTAAACATCCTTTCTAAAGGCTACCTAACATGGAGCCAACCTCCAGCTTAACGAAGGACCTTCCAGCCTGGGCAAACCTGGGCTTGATGCCGCGGTAGAACCCAGCCTCACGCTTCACGGCCCACTGTCCCGCCTGACCGGGCCTGGCGTGGGGCGCTCCCGGCCGGGCCCTTCGTCCCCACACTGGCCGCCCCGCGCCCCCAAAAACCCCTCCGCGGGCCTCACGGCGGGAGACTGAGGCGGAGGCGTCCCGCACCGGGCCCGCCAGCGCCCCGCCGGTGCCGTCCCGGCAGGACGCCCAGCGCCAAGCGGGCGGGCTGCCCCTCCGCCGGCAGCGGGGCTCGAACCCCCGTCCCACGGCTGCCAGCAGCCACCAATGGGAGCCTTCGCCTCCGCGGCGGAGCGGGAAAGGTGCCGGCCGGCATCCCGCCGCGCCTGTAGGGGTCGCCGTGGCGACCCCAGAACCTCTGAGTCATGCCCTTCGCGATTGGGCGGCGGTTCCCCGCTGGCCAATGGGAAGTGCCGGTTGGCCGTGACGCAGGTCCCGCTTTCGACGCCATCTTTCCGCCGGCGCGGGAGCGGAGCGCGGCGTCGGCCTCGCCATGCCGCACTACCAGACCTGGGAGGAGTTCACGCGCGCTGCTGAGAAGCTCTACCTCGCCGACCCCATGAAGGTGGGTGAGGGACGGGGCGAGCTGAGCTGAGGGGCCGGGCGGGCCTCCGCCCCTCGCGGTAGGCCCAGGCAGCGAGCGGCTCCCGGGGTGAGGCGATGGGCGCCGGCGGGAACCGGTTGGGAAGGTTTCTCGAGGGGCAGTCGCGGTGGGCCGCTCCGGGGAGGCGAGAGGCAGCAGCGAGGAAGGGGGTTACGCGCTGGTGTCGCACCTGACCTTCCTTATCCACCAAGCAGGCGGGAATTGTTCTCATTTAACACCCCAAAAACGTACACGGGGGGACGGGGTTTCGGGTGTTGTTATCAGCGACAGGGACGGACCTCGGGAACCGGTCTCCAGAGGCGTGCTTATTTACATCGTACCTGTGTGCCAGAAACCGCGACTGAGAGTTCTGCTGAATGAAGAGTGTGTCGCGAATTGATTTATGAGTTTACGACACTTAAGACTGTATCACTTGATTTTTTTTTTTCTTAGAAAAAAAAAAAATAAAAGCATTTATTAACTCTTCCATTGCATTATTGCCTGCAGTGTCATTTCAGACCGGAAAGTATTAGCTTCCTAAAGAGGAATTGCTCTAGGAATTAATTTCCTGGTAAAAGCTGCTTTTTGTTTCTGGTAACCTGTTCAGGAGGATAGTTTGTGCAAATATTAAAAGTAACTTCAGTCTTCAGAAAAAAAAGCACTATAATTCAGCTAAAAAGCAGCACAGAAGGTAGTGTGAAATTTATATGTCTGAGAAAACTGTGATAAAAAAGACATAGTTTTTGTCATCAAAAGTAGGGAACATGGAGAAACCCTCAGAAGTAGTGTTTAACATCTGCCTTTAATTAGCATAGGTGATTGCTTCATATGCAACTGCCACTTATCTACTGATAACTAAATTGTCTTGTTTTACCTTATGCTCTGTGACATTAAATGAAAGAGGAGGGATGTCACTGCAGCCAGGAGTTGCTCTTTCCCTTTTCTTAAGGGGCCTCCGAAGGCCTCCTCTTCCCATCCATGGCAGTAAACATGTCTGTCTACAAAGGGGTTTATATAGGCCCCAGAGTCACAACACGAGTACTTTTTTAATTTGCCAGAGAACTAGCTTCAGGAGCTTTTGTATGTAATTGGGCTTGTCAAGAAACTGAAGGAGTCATGGGAGATGGATGCACATTCTCCATGGGCTGGTGAGGATAGGTGGTGAGTGGCCTTGCCATTTGTGGGAGCAAGTTACGTATCAAGTCCATGCCTGCTGCTTGAAGCAGCCTCTCTTCTGTTTTTGGGCCTGCTCAGTGGAGAGATGTACTGTTACACAGCTGTTGTGGTTGGAAGATGACAGTTTGTTAAACAGGAAGGGTAGACCTGTGACGAGATCCATCTTGGAGCAGGAATTTCAAAATGTATTTTGTAGTCAAGGAGATTGTTAAACTGTTAGCACAGGTCACTGTACAACAAAGACCTGTTTATAGTGTGAGTTCAGAATGTTCTCAAAAGGACATCTTGCTTTGTTTCTACTTACTGATGCTAGCTGAAGCTAGAAACAATGGATACAAAGTCACTGTGGCTAGCTCTGCAGTCAGGAGGAAGCATGTAATGCTCAGTTGCTGAGGATGTTGATTTTTATCACTGTGACTTTGAGAACTTTGGCTATTTGAGAGTCCAGTGGGACTGTGGATAGGTTAAAGCTCAGGGCAGGTGACAACTGTAGTAACTGTTTTAGTTAGAAGTTGACTGCTTGTTTTCAGACTTCAAATTTAGCCTTATTGAGCCTTGAAACCAATTTAATTTGAAAGGACTCTCTTCAGTCCTCTGATTTTAATGACTCTAAAAGTGTTATTCTTTGTATCTTCCCTTTCCACATGCAAAAACATCAGAACACTTCAAATCTGCAGGCTGTAGTGCAGCTATTGAAATAACTGTAGTGACTGGAAATAAGACTTTTTTAACACAGTAGTTTAGGCACCTGTCATGGTTTGAGCCCAGAGGGTAACTAGGTGCCAAGCAGCCCTTCACTCACCTCTTCCCCTGCACAGGAATGGCAAGGAGAAAATGAAGCAAAAGGCTCTGGAATATAGATAAAGGACAGGGAGGGTGGCTCACCCATTATGGTCACAGGTAAAAGACAGACTTGTTAGGGGAAGGAAAAAAAGAACATCACTTTAATTCAAACACTAACAAAAACAACACTTAACAGGCAAGGTGGGGCAGTGGGAAGTGCCACCACATCCCAAAACCACCTCTCCTTACCCCTCCTTTCTTCCCAAGCTCAACTGTGTTCTACCTCCATCTGTCTACCTCCCCCCATCAGGGGTTACAGTCAGCTCACCGCTCCTTCCTTCCCAGGAGGCGGGGTGAACACCGCACATTCTTCCCCTGCTCCATGTGGCTCCCTTCTCACAGGAGGCAGTCCTCCATGAACCTTCTCTGGTATGAGCCCTCCCCACGGGCCACAGCTGTTCCCACGCTGCTCCAGAGTGGGTCACCCCACGTGTTCCGGTCTTCCCAGCACCAAGCTACAACAGTGGGGGTTGCTTCTCCCCCCAGAGTCCCGGCTTCCTTTATATGCAGGTGCCTGTCCTGGTGTGGGCTCCTCCACAGGCTGCAGGTCAGCCTCTGCTCCACCGCAGACCTCCATGGGTGGCAGGGGGTGGACCTGCCATCTTGCCATGGGATATAGGGGTCTCTGCTCCATTGCACCTCTCCCACATCCTTCTCCTTCCTTCCACTGACCTGGGTGTTCATCCTTTTCCCAACTCTTCCTCACAAGTCCCAACCGCCTCACAGGTTCCCTTTCTTAAATATGTTATCACAGAGGCACAGCCACCATCACTAATTGGCTCGGCCCTGGCCAGAGGTGGGTCCGAGCTTCTCACAGGGGCCACCGCTGTAACCCCCTCCCCCACTACCAAAACCCCTGCTACAGAAACCTAACACAGTACTGTAGAAGAAAAAGTAGTAACATTGAGTTTACCCCAGTCAATTAATCCCTTTCAAGTCTTTGTGTAGAATTATGTTAAGGGTTTCAAGTTTATAAACACAATCTTCTAGTTAGTTTTTCTGAAATGTGATATATGGTGAGGGGGTGTCTTGTGATTTTTTTAGTTTATCTTAACTGTCACTGAGGTCTCTGCAGCTGTCGCTGCTCTATTTACAGTGGTTTTGAACATGCCCAATGTTAAGCTTCCTGATGCTGCTATAATACCAGTTTAACATGTTAGGCAGGGAAATGTGATGGTTCAACTTTCACACCATCCTGGCTGTAGGATTAGTGGCCACCAGAGCTGAGGACCACCACAGAGGTGGTGCAGATGTGAAGCAGTACATAATAAGTTAGTCTGAATTTGGGCAGATTGCCTTCAGATATGTTCTGAGAATTGTTAGCTCTAGACGTTAATTCTTAAAATGTTTGTCATTTCAGGTGCGGGTTGTTCTCAAATATCGACATTGTGATGGGAACCTCTGTATCAAAGTAACGGATGATGTAGCTGTAAGTACAGAATATATTCCCCTTTCAGGGCTTACTGTACCTGCCATGAACTTGCATTTTGTTGTCAGTCAGCTTGGGAGGTCTTAGTCATTGCCTTGAGAGTGCCTGAGTTTTCTAAGAGCTTGTGCTCAGCCTTCCCTAGTTGTGTCTGTGGCTGACATTGACCTGTGTTTCAACTCTGCACAGTCCAGGAAAAGTTCTAACACTTAGTGGGTGTCAACATAATTATTTTAGGATTCTATGAAAACAAGGACTGCAAAAATCTTGACACTATCTGAAAATGCTTCATGGAATGACATTGGTAGCTTCTGCTGAAGCATTTCAGGAGCATCTTCAAAGAGATGTGTTTACTAATGTGAGTGTAGTCCTTTTGATTCGTTCAGAGTTGTGACAACTTCCAAATAGGTTAAGCTGCTTTGTGACTATGAGACACTGGAGTGATTATGTGACTGAACGGCAAGATTCACTTGCAGTTCAGAGACACCATTTTCTGAAATAACATTATGGTGTCACTTACTCAGTAAAAACTGGAACATACACCCAACATGGGATTCTTAAGTGTCCTTCCAAGGGCTGCTGTAGAAGAAGATGGAGCAGCAGTGCTTACTGGTTGCCCTTGGTGCAGATAGCCTGGGAGGGGTTAGGATGTGAGGTGGTGGGCAGCAGGTAGGAATGTGTCAGCATGCATCAACGTGTGCATGCCAGCGACAGGCTCTTGGTGCTGTTGCAGCCAAGTTGTTTTTCTGCAGTCCAGAGTAAGCAACAGTAGTCTGTCTTTATCTTCAGACTTGGAAGAAAATCAGATTTCTTCTTTCCAGGAAAAGTAGTCTGGCATTGGTATTTCCAATACCTGAGAGAGATGGGAAACTCTAGTAATGACACTTCTTGATAGGGTAATAGGGCTTAACGTGGGTGAGATGTTGAGTCTGGGGCACTGGTAGCAGGGGGAAGCTATGGGCAATTTAGTTGACAGCTACCATAGGGGAAGCTGGAGTCTGGTGATTCATGAATGTGAACTGTTTTCAGTTACAGGCTGTCTTACCTGCCTCTGGTTGTGGAAACCTATTACACCGGGGGGTGGGCAGGGGATTGGTTTCAGTTTGGGTTTTGGTTTTTTGGGAGGTTTTGTTTGTTTTTTGTTTTTTTTCTAAAGGCAGGAAGGGAAGTTTTCCTTAATGCTCAGTCTGTAGAACTAATATAGTGGAAGGAAAAAATAAACTGTTTTCTACTGTTCATCTCTGAATTAAAATGGGAATTAAATGCTGGCAAAAGTTGCTGTGTTGACAGCACTGAAGAATGGAGCATTCTGGGGGTTTTTTCATTGTTAAATCAGCCTGGATGGTCATACTCAGGCTGTACAGGTGTAAGGAATTACTTAATCTGCAAAAAAAAAAAAAAAAAATGAAGTGGTCTTTCTGTGATAAGTTGCTGGCACGTTGCTCTTGTTCCTTTTACATTAACAGGCTTGTCACATGAAGGAGTTCCTTTTTATCTTAATCAGATGCTATGTTCCTTATTTAGGACTGTCTTAGAAACAGATTTTGCTTGGGGGAGGGGATCCCCTTCAGTGGGAAATGCTGAACTGATTTTATGTCACTGGCAGTGTAACATTAAGGACTGTGAAAGGCGAAACAAAATTACTTTCAGAATATAGAGAATAGGAAAGTAATTCCAGGTTTAAAATCTGGTTTTATTTTTAGACATCACAAACAAGAATGTCTTTAAAGACAGCTTTAAACCCCAAGTTTAGCACCCTTTTTGAGAGAGAAGAAACTGGGATAAATTATGAGCTTCCCTATTTTCAAAATGGAAGACATGAGCCTTTCAGAGGAACTTAAATGTAAACACAGATGTGTGTGTATTTTAAAACAGGGTAGATATGTGTTGGTGCTGCCTCATGGTAACAACATGCCAGAAATGAACATTTAAATACTCACCTTGTTTTGTGTGCTTTAAGCACAAATTTGTTGTGCCTATAAATAGGATAAAAACAGTTCAAGTGAAATCTGATATTAAGCAACTTTCTCTTACAGTGTTTGCTGTATAGAACAGACCAGGCGCAAGACGTAAAGAAGATCGAGAAATTCCACAGTCAGCTAATGCGACTTATGGTGGCTAAGGAATCCCGCAGTGCTGCCATGGAAACAGACTGAACTGCTGAAAATAAAATGAGTGCTCCGGTCATATTTCACTGGAAGAAAACATCTCTTGGATTTGAACAAATACTGGGACAGGAGATGCTTTTATGTACCGAAGTGGACTGATGGCAAGTCTGAAGCATTTTTCCCCCCAGACTCTGCTTTGGAAAACTAGGAAAATAAATGCTTTCAATTGAAAGCTTATATTTATTTTTGGGAATCAAACAAGAAATTATTCTTACACGTTAGGTATGCTAAGAAGACAAGTAAATATTTTAAATCTACGGTACTTTAGTCTGAATTTGATGGGCCACAAGCACATTTCTGGAAAGTTACTATAAAATGCCATATAGATTTCATTGTGTTCATACCTTATGCTGGTGTATCCTCACAGTGAGAAGGTTTATTAACCCAACTAATACTGTAGCATGATGACTGGATCTAATAAATATTTACATAAATTATATATATCACTGGGGTTTAGAAGAACAGGTGTTTTCTGAACTGAAATGTTGAAATTGCCAATTCGTACTAGCACTGTTACTGGCCTTTAGTATTGATCTTGATCATAAGATGTGCAACACTATCTGTGATACAGTTTGTAGAACTGTTACATTGGCTAATTAAACTTCTGTATTTTGAAAATTAAAGTAAAACTTTGCTTAAAGATTGCTAGAGATTGGTGAGAAACTGGGAACTTCTTTTCTGCTTATTCAAATACTGTTACTAAAAAGTAGTCTGGCTTTTTTCCATACTTGAACTATTTTATACTACCAGGGGGATGTTCTCCCATCCGTGCTTCAGGCAGAGATAAAGTATATCAGCAAGACAAATTCTAGAAGCTCTTGCCTATTATGTTGATAGAAAAAATGCAACCAAACACTACCCAGCTTCCTTATCTTAGCAGCTTGGTAACTGTGCATTTTCAAATGTTACATGTGGCAGATGGATGTCAGCCAATTGAATAAATGGATGAAAACCAGCTTAATAAATACTTAAATACCACTGTCAAAAATAGACCAGTGCTCCTGTGGCTTAGACTTGTTTCTCATTGTTACCTCTGGTAGGGTGATGGAAGTCTTCATTGTCTCTTGCAAAGCTTTTTGCTTGAAAGCCCAGTAGCTGAAATTGATACTTGCTTTGACTAGATCTCGCATACTTAAAAACATGAATATTTTAATGTAATTATACTATTGGTATAACTAGACTTTTCCAGGACTAGTGTTTTGGGTTAAACCAAGCCACAAAAGTAAAGCAGAACCATACAACGACTTGTCTGTAGTGGCATTTAGATATAACAAGTCAATCTACTTAAATAGCTACTTGCTGTCACTTACATTAAAAATAATTGAGCTACTTGGAAGCAGTGGAGTTCCTACATTTGCCAAGGGCTCAGAATAAAACCCAGCCTTGAATATTGTATTAGAGTACCCTTTCAGCTGAACATATAATTGTTGGCAAATACTGTAGTGCTAAATTCCCAGTGACTACTCAAATTCTGGTCTACGTGAGTGACTGGTATGTATGTAACACTTTTCTTCTTGTATTGGCTTTTGAAATGCAAATAAATCCAGAGAGAAAGCTAAACTTTGTTGATAGTTAAACTTTAATAAGATACTGTAATGCTGAAAATTTTCCCTGATGCTCCAAATTATTTTCTTAATATTTGCAATATAGTATATTAAGTAGTTAAACCATTTTTGTCTAAAGCACTGTTCTGCAGTGTGAATGGTTGCTACACAAAGTCATACAAGCAAAGATTTAAGCTGTTAAGTTGGCAGGTGAAAAGGCTGCCACTATTTTAGTGTAATTTTTGGGCTTCTCTTTTATAAATTGGTTTGGTGTGTAGATGTTTTGTGTGAGCTCAGGTACAGAAAGACTTCAGTGGTACTTACTTGTGCATGGAGGATGTAAGTAGAGAGCAGGCTGCAGACAGACTTGGTGTACCAAGTGGCTGAAAGGCTTGAGCTGTCTACTTAAGCAGGTTTTAGAGGGGGGACACTTGTCTAGTGGACGGGGGCAATTTATATTAGAGTATCAGCTGTCAGGCAAAAGAGGCAGGGAAATGGATTTTTAGTTTTCTAAATTCAGAAATTATTTCTGTAAAACCGTAAGGAAACATTAATGCTGCTTTCTTAAGAGTATGTGTTGTTTAAGCTTGTTCTCCATATACTCACAGAAAAACTAGGGCAGTTCTGTGCAGTCATAATACATGAGAATACTGATAAAGCAACTGCTTAAAAAAAAAAAAAAAAAAAAGCTTTTGGAAATGTCTTCAGAAAAAGGTGCTTTTTGACTTTGTCCTGGAATTTTCAGCAACTTCAATACTGTGTTCATGGGGTGGTAGAAAAGCTGTGAACTCAAAGCTCTTCTTTTTTGTGCTTATACTCTTGCTGAGGGTGTGCGTGTGTGCATATGTGCACTGACCACTTCCTAATAAACTTCACAGTGAGTGAATCCATCATGTTGCCAACTACTTGAATGTGTCCGCCGGTAAGTGATGAAGAAAAGAAACCAGCTTAATGTGGCTGCTGCACCAAAGGGGTGATTGAACGCATTGCGTGTGAAGCCCCAAGTTTGGCAGCCCAGCGCCTCCGCAGGTGCCTCTGATCACCAGCTAAGGAGTCTGTGCCCATGACAGGCTGCAGACGGGCAGCGCAGGGGCAGACAGGCAGCCTGCTTTGCAGAAGTGGAATGATTTAAGAAAAAAAAAATAAGGACATTTTCCCTTGCTATAGCTAGTTTTGTTGCTGCATGTTAGTTATCGTCAGTAATTGTTCTGTTTTGTGAGAACAGCTTAATATGGGTCTTGTTATTGCACAAAGAAATTGGATTAGTTTACCCATGGAATTTATTCTGGTTTTCTGGTGTTCTCACTTCCTGGATTCTCTGAGCGTCTTGATTTCAATTCTTCCTTTGTGCACAGCATTTAAGCTGACTTTGTGTCTGAGTGCTCTCTTATGTGCAGCTACATCACTTCTGTTTTCCTTCAGGGTTTTTAAACCTGAGCTTCTCCATACGTGGTCCATTCTGTAAGTGTATTCTGGATTACAGGAAGATCCTTAAATGATCTGTAGAAGTGAGAATTTTGGTCACAGGTCTTTGTTTTAGAGATTCTCATGAAAGAGGCCTTTGTTTCCACTAAAGTCCTGACCTAACACTTTTAATAGTGACAGATTTATTCTGGAAAATTGGATGCTTTGGTGCCTGAGTCTGTCAAAATGGGAAATGGAACTGAAGCCAAGAAGGTGCTTTTAAAAATGTTTTAACTTGTCAAAATAATAATATTCCATCTCAATGAGTTCCTTCCTGCAGTATAAAAGTGGGTAATATTCAACATTTTGCTGTAATAAATGTGAAGAAACCCTGGTTTCTGCCAGATGCAGTCAGTGAGACTTAGGTGATCACTTAAAGGATTATGCCACCTGGAAGGTGTGTTAGCCCTCCTGCGATGGGCAGAACAAAACCTCTCACTTCATCTTAACATGCTGTTATCCCCCAATGCACCAGCACCTTTTTCACTTATGGTTTACCAGAAGATAAAACTGTAACACAGAAATGATACTCTAACGACCTGCTAAATGAAGTTTGAGATCTAAAGTGGAAAAATTTATATATAGTAAATAGGTGGGGATTTTTCTGTATAACTTGTTCTCATCTAGACTGCAGATTCTGTACAAGTCTTACTTCCTTCAAGAGTCAGTAAGCGTGAGTGAGTGACCTTAGGGAGTAGGGACTTAGCTGAAAACAGTATTATTCTTTGTACAATGCTTTGCGCTGAGGTAACTTAAATCTAATTGACTGAAACAAAGCTGCTTTGGTCAAGCATATCTAAGGAGTCTTCTTGTTAGATAACTTTCTTAAAGGGTCTTCACTTTCTTTTAAAGGAAACTAGTCTATCAAGAACTACCCCTATTTTTTTGCTTAAGTTAATAGTGGTTTGCTTTTCAAGACATGAGGGTGTCTAATCTGAAAAGCCGATACCACTTTAAAGGTAGATGCTGCATGACTCAAGATATCACAACTGTTTGTTTATAAAGATTTTATCTTACAAAGGCTTTCAGAGTTCAAGGACTGGTATTTAAATACAAGCAAGAGTTGCATTGTCTTTGTTGCTGGGGATGACATAAAAACATGCCTTTCATCTCTTACTACTTTCACAATAAGTAGACTCTTTGGACTGGCTTCCAGATAAATCTCCCCACCTTTATGCTGAGATGAAGTATTTAATTTGAATTACTATGCACTGAAGGCAGATGTGGGCTTTTTAGTCTGTAGAATTTTTGAGATGAGAATGATGCCACAGTATTTTAGAAGCAGATAACTTACTCAGCAGAATACAAAGCATGGTAGTTTGCTAACCCCTGCTTATTAGGCAAGCTTGTGTAGGTCCTGTAACTGTTGTAACAGACTAAATGCTCTCAGGAGAATGTGGGCTTAAGCTGGGCCATGTAAAACTGAAGTCTGTGGGAACGGAGCCAATGAAAACATGGTCACAGTGTGATAGCAGAGTTAACTGCCGGCATGCAAGTACAGGCCCTATTGTTGAACGTAGTCTTTGTTTCTGGTGAAGGTATGTGCTTATTTTCTTATGCTGTGCCAAAGTGAGTTATAGGTGTGTGTTCTCGGAGCCCTGTAATGGGAATGCAATTACTTTCTGCCATTCTAAAAACATCTTAATTTCTGAGTGCCATTTCTCAGTGCCCTTATGTGAAAATGCCCAGTCTTCCAGCAAGAACCAGTGTGCTCAACCCATTAGCACTCCCCATACAGATAGTTCCTAGGTGTTGCGAAGATGTAAGAGTATAATGTTTCTCTTAAACTGTAATGCTGGTATTTATGAAAGTGTTCTCTGTTTAAATGAAGACCAGCTCTGAGGATATTTTGCATTGTATTTGCAGCAAGTTTTGATTTTGTGCTCACATTCTTCTGTCCCCTTTTTTGTGGTGATTCTTGGGCATTTTGCTAGAACTTAAAACATCAGTCATACCGAGAGGTCTGGGAGACTGGGTGTTTTATTTCCTTTGAAGTTATGTTTGCACGTTGAGTTCGTTTTTTGTCTAAAAGTGGTATCTTTTAATAAAAGGATTAACCTGCATTGTTCTGCTTCTACTGAGCAGAATCTTCCTGAGTACAGGCATGTGTTTACAGCAAGATTTCAAAGACTGGTTTCTTGGAGAGGGAGTTGAGTTTTCTGGACACGTACTGAATGGCTTTGCTGATCGGTAGTGAGCAAATGAGAATCTGCTGTTCGCATTGGCTAGCAAAAATACATATTTTAAATAGATTGCTCATGCATGTAAATACAGCCATCCATAATACAGTTCTGCTATCATTATGTGGCTGAAAGATGAAAGGCTTGCCTTAGGGCACTGACAAATGAGCTCTGGCAAACTGTGTGTGTGGCTTAAAGATGACACCTCCCAGAGGCATCTGCTCCTTTAAGGAGTCAGCAGGCAGGAGGATGAACTAAGGCCTCAGACATGTCTGTCTGAAAGCCAATGTCTTACTTTAAATTGCCATAAAAGATACCTTTTAAATTTGAGGGCAGGAGGGAAGCTGCCCTTTTCAGTGAGTGATGGACGGTGAGGGGGTTTTTATTTAATATTTTTTAAACGCATTTGTTGTGGCAGTGCTACCTATGGCCGAGGGCAGTAACCAGAAAAATAAACAATATTCACCAGGGATTGTTGGTTTGTGCCCAGAGGCAAACCTTCTCTGTGTTGGTCATAGAGCAGACCCACATAACATGTGACTATATTTAAACATGCAAATAACCAACCATGTTTTTAACAGAGCAAAGAGCTGCTTTGCAAATAGCTTTTTAACCACTGCAGCAATAATATTCCCTGTTGATCACCTAATAAATGTGCAAAGACTGAGATTCTGCACCAGCCTTGGTCGGTGTAACAGCTGGCTGCTGATCCCTGTTGCCCCTGTTGTACCTACTCTAGTGTGCCCCAGAGCCTCACCTGAACCATTTCAATTTACCAGTGCATCAGAAAACTCCTTAATGTTCTGGAAGGCTCCCGATTTGATATTCTGCCTGGTTAGTGTGCTGAGAGGGTTTAACAAAAGGTCAAATGAGTGCTACAGGGGGTGAAATGGAGGGGCTGAGAGCTCCCAGGTGGGGTGAGGAGAACAATGGGAGCGAGAGACAGCAGTCAGATTGGCTTAGGCTGCCATGGAACCACAGCCTAAATAACTTGCACTTTGGCATTGCCCTGACTTGCTTGGAAAAACTTCCTGTCTGTCCCATTAAATGCTCTGTAATGTACATGCCATACAATATTTATCTAAAAACTAGATATGTCTGAATTTGGTTTTGTATCATTCTAGTTCATATGGATGGTACAGAAAATGTGGAACCAAAGATTGTAGGTGATATTCTCCCTAAAGGCCTGTAACACCCTGGTAGCCTCTCAGATGGAGTAACCGCAACTGAACACATGACACAAGGTAAAGATTATATCACAAATTTCTAAAACTGTGTTGAAATTCTTCAATGTTAAGATGGGTTAAATGTTGGGGCAGGGGTTTTAAGAAGGGATCAGCACGTCGAAAGGCGTATGTGACTGCAATAGTAACAGTTCAGTGTGCAGTTGCTCCAAACCAATAAATTCATAAGGTGCCTCCAGAATACATCCAGGAGGCCAACCCTTGAAACACAAGTACTGAAACATCTACTGGATATGATTTCACTGGTGGTAAGAATGGACTACTTCGATTTCATGATCAGAGAAGAGTGTTTTCCTTCCTCATACTTTTTGCTTCTGCGTTAAGCTTCCTTCTTTTCTGACTCTTCAGTTCTTTCTTCTTTTTAATTTGCTTTAAACTTGTTCCTTCCCTTTAGATCTTTAAGACATGTCCCTCTTATTTTCCTCTATATAGTTGATCATGGTGACTTTCTGGTTGGCTTAAGGGAAGAGGATTGTTATACAGTTGCATCTTTACCTTCTTCTACTTGTGGTTGTTAACAGAGCATTTAGTTCTCAAATCTGAGCTTTGGTAGAGAGACATTCTGCATTTGTGAAGAGTACGTGTGTAGGTGTCACAGAAGCATTAATAATAAACTGCATGACCAACTTCCTTATCCAATAATAGTATAAGAACACAGGTTTTTTGGATATTAAAAAGAGCACTTAGGCTTTAGCAAATGAGAAGATCCTTCAGCTCAAACTCTGTGTTGGAGTACCTACCTAGATTGTAGCAATTAATTTACTTTCCTGCAATGCAAGTTGCATACTACTTGACATTATTTGACTGATGACTGTCTACCCGTCTACAGCTTGTAATGATTAGATACCAGCAATTCTCCATAATAATTTGTCATCAATATCTGTCTTTTTTAAAATCATTCCTTGTATTGTGAGATAAAAACTGTTTTCCAGCCACGTCTGTTGTTGTCAGTTCCTCTGTGCTTATGAATCTTTGTCAGAACTCTCTGCAGTTCCTCTCACACCACTAGTCCCATAAATTTCTGTCATGGCCATATCCTCCTGCTAATCTCTGTTTGCTGTAACAAACTCCAGCTGCTTTAAAGGTGGATATAATGCTGCATAATGTTCCTCTACCTCAGCTCAAAACTCTAAAGCAAAAATAACTTTAAGGCATGCTGGAGCATAGAGTTTTAAGGCATGCTGGAGCATAGAGTTGCTAATGTTTTCCATTTCTCTTATTTAGAATCACAGAATGTCTCAAGTTGGAAGGGGACCCATAAGCATCATCAAGTTCAACTCCCTGCTCCTCGCAGGACTACCTAAAAATAAACCATATGACTAAGAGCATAGTCCAGATGTTCCTGACAGGCTTGGTGCTGTGACCACTTCCCTGGGGATCCTGCTCCAGTGACTGACCCACCCTCTCAGTGAAGAACCTTTTCCTAATGTCCAACCTGAAGATGCCCTGACGCAGCTTCATTCCATTCCCTCGTGCCCTATTTGCTGGTCACCAGAGGAGGAGATCGGCACCTGCCCCCCATGAGGCAGCTGTAGGCTGTGATGAGATCACGCTTCACCCTTCTCTTCTCCGAGCTGAACAAACCAAGTGGTCACAGCTGCTCCTCATAAGTCCTGGTCACCCTCCTCTGGACACACTCCTAACAGTTTGGTGCCTTTTTTATATTGAGGCACCCCAAACTGCAGAGAGTACCCGAGGTGGGGCCGCACCAGTGCAGTGCAGAGTGGGACAATCGCCTCCCTCGCCCGGCTGGCCGTGCTGTGCTTGGTACACCCCAGGACACGGTTGGCCTTTCTGGCTTTGGTGGTATTTGCATCTCGGTGTTTTCCTTTCATAGGCCGTGGGAGTTGTACATTTTTCACAATAAACAGCCAAAACAGTTCCAATTACAAAGAATGTGTGTAGAGAACTAAACATGATGTAATCTTCCTCTGTTCTTTGTATGTTTGAGGTAACTGCTTTGCTCATTGTTGTTTACTACTGCTACTGCCACAGGGCCTAAGAGTCCCGCTTGTGAACCAGAAGCATTGTATGTCTAGCACTGTTAAAGCACAAAGAAAAATTAATAATTAATGAAGTGGCAATTTAAGGAGGTTAACACCCACAGGAAGACATATATGCCAAAGTGATACCTCCACAGTAGGAACTTTGAACTACCCTATCTGCTTCATGAAAGGAAGAACTGGAAGGTATGAAGGAAGTAAGAACGTGCCTTCCTGCATGACTGAAGGCACCTGTTTTAAGAATATGGGACAGTCTGGATAAAATGTGAAACTAGTTCTTTATCAAGTTATAAAGGCTGGAGTTACTGGCTAACTAGAGGTTGGAGTTGGCATTTTTATAACAAACGGGATAGAAGTAATGCCATTTTTCATTAATGAAAATAGTCAAATACAGTATTTGGAAGCTGTAATAAAGTGCTACGACAGCGTGGGACATAATACAGTTGCATTTTTATCATCGGATAAAAGTTGTTATATTTTACTATGCAAATGTATGTATGTTTGTGAAATCCCTGTAGTCCTACAGTAGAAAGATGGGTTGCTACTGCTGCTTCTGGCACCTCAAGAAAATTAGTATGGAGCTGTTGGTGAAGCTAGATGCCCCAGAAGGAGCAGAACTCACAGCAAGCATGTTTGGCACGGAAGAAGAGGACCAGATAAAAAAGAAAAGCTTTAGTTACAAAGCAGTTTAGGCACATGTTGCTTTAAAACAGATTGCTAAATAAAGCAACTATTGCTGTTCATAGCAAAACAGCATGAGACCTGCACCAAATACTCTGGGCAAAAGAATGCTTGAGCAGACTGGGATGATTGGGTAGAAGTTGAAAGATGTGAAAGGAATTGTTATCAGTGATCACGAGGCCATTTGTTAAGACTTCTCTTCAGCAATCCAAACAAGAGAATTGAGATGGTGTGGAGGTGACCAAAAAAAAAAAAAAAAAAAAAAAAAGTAATATTGGAACCTGGGAGTGAAGTGATAGATGAAAGCTGAGACTGAATAGTAAAACCTTGAAGAGCCAGTAAGGAATTAAAGTTGCTTGTTCTAACTGATGGGATTAGTTGCTACAGCTGGACCTTCTGAGGATTGCTCTGCTCCTTCTGACCAAGGGTAGAAGGCAGGCCTTGGAGAAGGCAGGCTAAGGGAAAAAGCCCCCCCGGTGCCTGCATCCTCGGGGTGTTCCTTCGGAGAGGCACACAGCTGTGCTGCACAGGGGAGCGCCTGGGGACGTGCAGCACTTTGAACGTGCTTCTCTAACTGAAGTCCCGCTACAGCGCAGCGAGGGCGGCTGAGGTGGGCCCGGCCGCCATTTGGGAAGCTCCCGCGCGGCGCCGCTCAGCAGCGAGCGGCTGCCCGGCTGTGCCCGAACTCTGCCCTCGCACCCGGGGATCGGTGCTTGCTGGGCTGAAGCCTGTAGCACCCTGTGCCCGCCCGTGCTTCGGCGCCCCACCGCTCCCCGCGCTTTGCCCCGTTTTCGGTCGGTGCCGAACGGAGCGCTGCGGGCAGGGCGCTGCCGGCGGCCGCGGGCGCCAACGCCCCTTCCCTGAGGGCGGTAAAGCCGCCGCGGCAGGCGGCCAGCCGGGCAGTGCCGCTGCCGCCCGGGTCGCGGCCCGGCGCTACCCGCTCCCGCCGCAGGAACTACAGCTCCCAGCGGGCTGCGGACAGAGGGGCCCGGCCGGCTCCGTGCCCCTCTCCCGGCGTGCTGGTGGGCGGCGTGGCGTGGCGCGGCGTGGACGGTGCCGGTCCCCGCTCCGACCGCGGCAGGTAACGGCGCCGGGCGGGGTGCGAGGGGAAGCCCGCCGGCTGGCGCCCTCGCCTCAGGGGAGAGGCGCGAAACCCCTCAGCGCTGCCGCAGCCCCCCGGCCAGGCGAACGCAGCCCTGACCGCGCGTTCCGGCGTTCGCCCCGCTCGCGTAGAGGCGGCCGGGCGAGGAGGGGCGGCCCCTCGCCTCGCCGGGCGAGGTGCCGGGCGGCGGCCGGCGCTGAGGGCGATGCTGCGCCGGGGGGAGTTTGTGAAGTTCCCTGCGGGGGGGGACGCGCCGCTGAGGGAAGGGGGCGAAGGGAGAGAGCTGGCCTGAACTTGCTACCCAGTAAATGAAATTACTTTTACGGGTTGTTCTGTGCGCGGCGTCTCCTGCCGAAGCCTGCGGGCACTGAACGCCGAGAGCGGGGAAGCAGGGACCATTGAAAGCGAGCTCTGCGCCTACGTGCCTTAAATACCGTTGTTGTAAAGAGCGTGTGCCCCTCTGCCAGCTGGTAGTATCAAAAATATTAACAGTAGGTATTATTAAAGTCTGAATAATAGCGGTGACCCGGGTGGGGATTTTGGGGTTGATTTTGGGAACGGGAAGGCCCTAATCAGCTTTTCTGGGGGGAGAGTAAGTGTGACGTTCTCTGACAGCTTGCTGGAGCCAGGGTTGTTTGTCCAATTTAAGGTTCCCGATAAGCTGGCCCTACTGCCGACTATACTTGTGGAAACAACAATTTTATTTAGTGTTCAGTGGGAATCTGGCCAGGTTTCCTGGTTTAGTTAGAGTAAGCGGGTTTAACTATTGGCATATAAATGGTTTAGTCTGGTTTTGGTTGTTTTTTTTTTTTGTTTGTTTGTTTGTTTTTTGTTGTTGTTTGTTTGTTTGTTTTTGATGGATTTTTTTTTTTACTCATCTCAATGTGGGGATATGAAATTGAACTTTTTTTTTTTTTTATGGGTCATTTGCCAAACCTGAAAATTGTTTGAATGAGTACCATACACATAGTTGCCTTTGCTGAACAAGCATTTTAGAGATGAGAAAAAAACCTTTTTAGTTTAATGACTGTATTTTGTTGCATAACTGAGCAATCTGCAAAGACTAAGCAAATGACGCACTCTATCCCCAAGTATGGCTCAGTTTGTCAGAATTCAGTTGGGGTTTTGACTTTGCCCTGCAGTTAAAACATATAATCAAGTACATTACTGACTTTTCCAATTCTACTGAATTAGGCTGCTTTCTTTTCCCTTATTTTCAAAGCATAGCTTTATCTAAAATAAGAAAACTTGCCTAGTTGTTGTAGGTGAACCTGTGAGATAAGATTGGTTTTAGAAGCCACTGTCTCGAATTTACTTACACAGCCACAAATGTGGGGTTAATATTTTGATTGGCACTATTCTTTTGAGGTGCTGTGCTTCTGCTCTGAAACGGATATTACTCTCATCTGAAATAAGCTAAAATTGAGACTTAAGTGCACAAATTGCTAATGCTTGCTGAAAATCAATGGAAGATAGGCAGCAAAAGCAATTAGGCAGCTTTGAAAATCAATCCGCAGTTGAAGTTGTCCAAGGACAAGGATTAGATCTTTGTCAGAGCTGAAGTCTTTGTGGGGAAGGTCCTGGCACGGTGTCAAGTTCGTGACTCTTTGTTCTATATCTTTTCCAGTCTGAATTAATATCTAAAAACTTGTATATGATTTGCTTAAATTCTGCTTGTTTGTTATTTTTTCCAAATTTTGCTATTTTTATCATAGGGGCGGTCGTGGTGTTAAAGTAAATAATTTGAAAGAGCACAGTTAGTAATAACCAGTGCAGCCAGAATCCACATGCAATTTGTCTGTATTAATTGCCCAAAATAGGTTTTGGATTATGAGGTGTTTTAAGAGACTTTTCTTCTCCCCTGTTAATCTACTACACTTTTTGTATTTGGTCACACCGTAGGGTAATGCCATGTTTTCAGCCTGTTTGTTTATCTAGGGTTTCAGCAAAGCTTTAAAACTTACCTGGTATTTGTAGACGTAAAACTGCAGTGTTTTAGTATGGTAAGCCCTGTGAAACAAGTTCAGGCTTCTTAGTAGAATATACATGGCCAATTTGTTCTAAGTAATTACAACAGGTAAATAAAAAGGTTTGGGGTAATAATTTCAAAATGGTAATACTCCCAGAAATTCTTGTTTCTTCAGTAATAGTTTGTCAAGTAATTTGGCAGTGAGGAAGTAGCAAAGCAGGGATGGGGGTGGTAGGTGAAGTATAGCTCATAGCTCTAGGCAAAATGAATTGATTATCTTGAATATTCCTATGCACATTTCTTATAGTTGGGAGTATTCAAATTTTGTGGCCAGACGAGCAGAGGTAAAGCCTTACCTTTGTGGTAGAGTGTGCACTGCTTTGTTGAGCCTGCAAGAGTATTTTCTTCATGCAACACACAGTCCCAGAACCAGGGCAGTCGTCTTTAATGTGCAAGTTCCAAACGTGGCAAATAAATCTCTAATTACTGTATAAGTCCCTGAAGAAAAGTCACTTGGAAAGTAGAGCATCTTGCTTCTCTCTGAAGAGCTTTGGTCTGATTGTAATTAATGCTGAAGTTTCTGAATACTACTACTGAAAAAGTTCTGGATTCTTCCTCTGAACATACTATTTTTAATTAAAAGCATAATTGTATGTGTAAATGGGTATTAACATAAATTGTAAAGTGCTAAAATCTACAGTAGCATTTGCTTCAAAATCTTGGTCATGATAGACATAGCAGGATAGCTAAGACAGTGATTTGAATATACCCTGGGCTTTATGTTTTGTTTTGGAGTTTTTTTTGCTTTTGTGTTGTTTTTTGTTGTTTGGTTTGTTGTTTTTTTTTTTTTTTTTTTTTTTTTTTTTAAAGCAGCATTATCAGCTTTGATATGTATTTAAGCATATTGTTGTTGATTACATGCTTTCTGATTGTCAAGGCTGGGAATATTTTTGTGGGAATCATGGTAGCCATGCTTTGTTTGTTGTTTTTTTTCAGTAGTGTATGATGCTGTTTTATAATGCATTTGCCAGAATGAGGAAATTATCCATGATCATGTTTATGTAGAGATCCTACTGGGGTAAACAACAGGAGCTGTCTTCCAGGTTTCTTCTCTGGAAAGTGAGCTGTTCTCTGACATTCCTCCAACTTTTTTTGAAACATCTCTGTTGGAGATGATTAGGTGTAATCCACAAGACAAGTAAAGGCTCAGCAAACTTTTTTTTTTTTTCTGCTCTTTTTCTACCTTAAGCAATTCTTCTCATACTTTTTTACCCAGGAGTTGTTTGTTTTTGTTTTTTCTTTGTTTGAACTCTACAGTGAAGACATGTAACCACTGCTCTAACAGTTTGTTCTGTATAACCTGGCTGGCCACTGCATCTATACCCTGACTGTGCTTTGCTGTCTAGTAGAAGACAAGTCCTTCTCAGGTTAAATCGCTATGTATTATGAATCAAAAATAAAGCTCTCTTGAAGGACCTACTCCTCTTGGCTACTTCATCATGAGTGTTAATTGCTCTAATCTGGTGGGTACAGGTAGTGCACTTTTCTAGATGAAGCCCTTAAATTCAAAGAGAATTTAAATACTTAGTTATTATTAAGGGAGAGATGAAGTAGCAAGAATTGTTCTTGTTACATGTTTACTCTGGCACATCCTTTTGGTGTTGCAGTTATCTGACAGAAAATGACGACTACCATCTGTTCCCCTCCTCTCTCATCATTCAAAGTTCCTTTTTTCTTTGAGAATTAAGTCTTCATAGAGAGATAACAAGTTTCTATCTCTTCCAGTTTCCATAGTCACAATTTATTAAAAAATATATTTTTTTTTTTTGCTTTTTACACTCTTATACGTGTTTTCATTCATGCTGCCCTTACTACTTGGAGTCATGATCCTAATTTAGATTTACAGCATGCACCTCATCTCACTGTCTTGCAGATTGCCAGAAATTTCCTCTGGAAGTCTTTGTATTCATCATTTCCATCTCCACACCTTATTTTAACTGATAGATTGTCAGGTACTTTGTTCTTACATACTTCTTCAGAGCGCAAGGTTTCAAACTTTGCACCACTTTCCCCCCCCCCCCCCCCCCCCCCCAAGGTACCATGTACACATCAATTCTGCATATGTTAATAATTAAAAGTTTTTAGTAACACAGTTTTCTAGCAGTGCTAATATAAAAAGCTTGTAAAGCTGCTAGTTAAAGAAGATCTTTCTGATTTCATGGAAGAATCTTAAGAGAATTAGACTAATGGAAAATCCCACAGTAAACAGAAGGACACACACTGTGCCAAGCAGTATGGGGTGAATCTGAGTCTTTCCTAGAGATCAAACTGGGCAAGACACTGGCCATACTGCCATTGCAGAGAAGGCAACCTTTTACACTTTAGTACTGGAGGACATAGTGAAGCCAAAAATACTGCCTGAATTTCCTTTAAGGCCTGAGGAACAATTACCTTGATCTCATTTCCTTATCTGTAATATCTAACTCTTGGTTCATCTGCACTTTTTTTTCTACCCCTGTCTGTAAAGTGCAGATACTGGTATAGGATGAGGCGGTTAACGTCGTTATTCCTAGAAACTCTGGTGGAAGGCAAACTAGAACAATGTGCTATTCATAATTTCTTTTCAGACTTTAGAAATAAAATGTGAAGTAAAGCTTGAGATGTTCTTTGGAGTCTATTTTATTGGACTGTGTCACTTAGTTGGCTGGACAGTGGCTATGAACTGTTTTAAAAACTTTATACTGGCGTGATATCCTTCCCTTTTTTAACTGTAACGTGATTTGAGAGAGCTCTGTCTAGGAGACCCAGCTTTCAGCCATGTTTGCCCCCAGGTCGTATGCCAGGCTTCTGTCACTTCTCTGCATTTGTGCAAAAGCCCTCTGTTATTGTTGGAATTTGAGGCTTTTTCTTAGACTCTGAGGGAAGTGGGTTTGTTCAAGAATAATAGAAGCAAAATATGGAAAATTGAGATAAGACATGTTTTTAAGCAGCACATAAGAACATGTTGGGC